GCACCCCATCTTGCTGGGTGTGACCCTACAGCCTCCAGACTGAGTTTGTGTCATTCTCTCATGATACTTTCAGTTCACTCACTGCACAGAACTAACAGAAAAAAAACTGCGTCATAAAACTTAGGGCACTGTATTTGTGACCTGAAGCTTGTCAATTCGAATGCCATCCTTGGCAGGTTAGGTGGATGACTCTTTTAGGCCCTTGAGCAAGACTCCTAACCCCCCGAAATGTGTCACTCTCGCCTGAGTATGTATGTATGTCTTAAAAAGGAGAGCATGATGGGATATGTGAAAACGAAAGAATTCCAATCTGTACTCGCACTAGCAGAAATGGCAAATAAAGTTTTGTTTGATTTCATTTCAGTTTTGTGGTACGTAGTGGGACATATTTGTATTTAAAGTCCTTTAAAAAGTGGCCCAGATGACGTGTTACAAGACAACTTAAACTTATCAGTCCGAGGACGTCACTCCATGGAAACCAACCCCCGCCCTCCCCCCCAGGAACTGTGAATATGGCCAACTTCTGAGAAATTTCCCAGTGGCATGCTGATATACTAATTAACAGGTACGATCGCAAACATTTAAAACATTATCCAGCCAACTGAGAAGCAGATCTGGTATCCTGTGGCAGCCAATTGGGGTCCAGTAGATAGTGAAGCACCCAAACGCTGCCCCCTACTGACGTGTGTGGGGTGTTGGGGTATGGTGCGGGGGATGGCTTCGCCCAGATCACGGACAGAGATTATAGATTCTGATTAAACAGCCGGGTCAGTTCTGCTGCAAGCACTGCGTGGCCCCTAAAATAGTTTCCTGAAAAAATCTGAGCGTGCTCGCGGAGAGTTCAATCAGGCCTGTCATCGCCTCCTCCAGCGCTGACAAGCTGTCCATCACCCGTCCCCCGCTGTCCCCATCGTCTCGGTGAGTCTGCCGAAATCCTCTCATCCCTGGAACTGCAGGTTTCATTATGGTAACACACACCACTCGGGCTAAATGAACGATAATGGGCATATCTGATTGAGATACTCTGTAAAAGAAATTAGGACTATAGAATGGGATATGCTCACCATTATACGTGTGCAGCATTCTGCTTCTGTTCTCCTTGTTCGTTTTTGATAAATTTATTGCTCAGATTCATCTGAGACCCAGCAATTTAGTTTGACATTGTAGGGACACGACAATGAGGCTCAGTAATTGTTGTGCAATTAAGGGCCTTCTAATTGTTGCCGATTTGAATTGCAAATTCCATTAGAACTCTTTAAATGGCCTTTGGCAGCCAGGAGCCTCTGATGATTGACAAGTGACAGCATAATTGGAAACCCAGCCGACTTCAGGTTTCTGATTGATTCACGGTAATGACATGCAAATAGAGATAAATATTTACTAACACCAAGTCAGATGTTCATTATAGGACTGTAGTGAGAGTATTGGAACAATAACAAACATACATAAATTCAGTTTTAAGTACATTTAAAAATGCATTAACCAGGTTGGGGAAATAATTACAAGGTATTTATTTTGGGGGGAAAAATTAAGTAACCATATTGTTTGCATTCACTTATGATTCATTTTCTACTGGAAATGAAGAAAATAAAAAGTATCATGGGAGCTGCTACAGAGTGTTCTATATATTGTAATTATTTTTAAAATGTTAGTTTATAAAGCATATTTAAATTGGTAATTGAATTGGGAAAATCTGTGCTTTGTGGTAACTGCTAATGTTTTGAATAGAGTGTCAAACTGGGCCTGATATTAACGATACGCTGCGCTGTTGCTGCCTGCGCTTAGACGATATTCACCCTTGTGAAGAGTTTACGGTACGCTGCATTGTTGCTGCCTGCACTCAGACACAAAGAGGTGTTTGTAACAGAGGCCTTGGAAATGCACCCGCCGCTGGATGGTGCTGTGCTCACTGTCCCTCGACGAGGCTACCTGCCCAGGATTCGGCATGTCACCCCCCCCCCGACTGCTGGGGGTTGTTTGGAGGTGCATGCAGTCTCCTGTCCACATGGACTGTCCCCATCCCTAATAGAATCTGACAGGATGTAAATGAGTATTTAAAAGGACTGGCGAAGATGGTCATTTTCTCTACATTTACTGGCCAGATGAACTGGAGATTAGCAGCTGTGCAGGTTCTCCAGACTGGGTTGGGGGCTGGATGCGATTTGTGCCCCTCTGTCTGTGTACCTATGTGTGGTACTGCAGGTGTTTTGTGTAGAAAGGGCAGCTTGTGATTTCAGTCAGCACCGTTTTTGCCAAAATGTACTGTTTCCCATCAGACAAGAATAAAACTCATTAAATAAAACCACATGACTCATTAGATAATAGCGGCCTTTGTGTGAACCGAAGTTTTATACAGGATCCTGCTGTTTACAAGAATAGACATCTAAGAAAATCTGTAATTCACTGCAGGTTGTGAATTGAAAGTGAGTTTTGATTATATTAAGAGAGCTGGATTTCTTGAGGTGATGTGGCTCTTTTTTACTTAGAAACATGCTCAGATCCTAATAAAATTGGCCCTGACATGTAATCCTGCTGCAGAAAAACAGAACTAAGCCTAATCTTCCCTCTTTGCCAGCGCGGCTCGTGGTGCTGGGCTTGATTGGCAGTACTGTCATGACGACACAGAGTCCTGACAGCTGCTATAACACTGTACAGAAGTTTTCAATTTTCTTTTATTAGTCTGCCGTTCTAATCATTCTCATTTACAATTTATTTAACTTTTAATGGGTTATTATATAGCATGCAGCATATTTTGGGATTAAATGGTTCATGATATTCGCTATTGAACTGATATCACTGAACTGATATTCCCAAAAACAATGGATGTAAAAATTATCATATCAAATTTAAGAAAAAATGCTAATTAGTTACAAGCTTCCAGTATTATCCTCCTGTCAGCTTCAACTCCACTCTTCTGTCACTTCTTTTCATTGGTAGTACATGCAATTACGCAGACAGTATTATATATATATATATATATATATATATATATATATATATATATATATATATATATATATATATATATATATATATATATATATATA